TGCCAGCACAAGTGACTCGTAAGAACGGTCCAGTGTGGACCAAAGATCGCTCCAAAAACTATTTTACTAAAAAAGCTACAACCAAGAGTGGTACAGACACATATTTTTAAAAAAAGAATAAAATTTTTTTTTAATTTTGTCAATATACAATGTAGTTATTTATTGTGTCCCATCACCGAAACCTCCCTCCCTCCTCCCTCTCCCCCCTCCCACCCAGGTGTGTCCCCTCCATTTTCTTGGTGTAAGAACTTCAAAAAAAAAGTTGTGGTTGTTATATCTTCCTCTCCCCCCCGCCCCGTTTTTTTTTGTTGTTGTTGTTGATGTTTTTTATTTTTTTTTTTAATTTTTATTTTGTCAATATACAATGTATATGATTATTATGGCNATAATTTTTGCTTTATGTTAATAATAGCATTTTTCTGTTTTATTTTGGGTTGGGGTTTTTTTGTCTGTGATTTCTAAAACTTTGTGTTTTCTCTCAAGTACTGTTTGCAGGATGTGTTGAATTTTCTGAACAGATGATTGGGGAAAATACACTGGCACTCTTCCTCTAGGTAAGAGGGTAAATAAAATTTCAGAGTCAATCAAAAGCACAAAATGAATGTATTCTTTCCTAGGCTTCAGACTTCCACCTCAATTCAGTACAATCTTTCAGTAGAAAATAAAATTTTAAAAGCCACCTCTAGGAGCTTTTGTTCCATAAATGATTAATTAATAATTGTAGCCTAGAAGGCTGGCATAGATGATTGAAGTTCTTTTCCTATTGTGATGATTTATCAGTCTATTATTTCAAGTGGGTATTTATCAGATAAAACTGTCAATGAACATTATGTGAAAAGTTCACTTTTAGTATTATGGTTTAACAATACTGAAGCTGGATTAAATCCTTAGCAGCCTATTTTCTATATCTCTTCCTTTTTTCCTTTTTGGCAGCCTAGGCAAATAATCCCTAGATACGTGTAAGTAATAACTAACAGATATCAAACATATAGAACTTAAACAAGACCAAAGAATTGAAAATGGCCACTTGTTTTCAATTGTTTTTAATCCATACTTAGGGGTAGAACTATCTTTTCTTCTCTGGATCTTTTGATATTTGCAGCAAAACATTCTGCAGTTACTCTGTCACCGGTGATATTGGAAATGAAATGCTGTGTCTGATCAGCAGCGTCAACCATGAAGCCAGGCAGAAGACACATAAGTATCTCATGGCCCATTACCCACAGTGATTGAGCTAGTGGCATCTAAAAGGGACACGGAGAGGTCTGACACTTAACATCATCTCTCAGTCTCCCAACCATGCACACACACCAACGCGCATGAAGAAATACCCTTCTCCATCCGGCGGCTACTAATTAACGGAGCATTAAGCACTTCAAAGAGTGCTAAACATGGGTGGGATTGAAAATTTCTCTCCCTTTGAACTGACCTAGGATAATTTCCTGTAGTTCTATTAGTGTAAATAACAAAAACACCTCACACAGAAACAAACAAAAAAAGTAGCTATTAATATTTACATTAAAATTTTATAGTACATAAATCCATCTTATGTTTCATGTACTTTAAAAATATAGTTTATTAATTTCTATCTTAAAAGAGTATATAGAGTATAATAGTTAATATTTTACAGTTCATATGTTTTTGGATGAAAAACTGTAGATTAGGACAAAATTGTGTTTTTATTTTAATCGTTCTATATACCAGGTGTGAGTGACCTATCTGTGGGCTGGATCCAGCTTCCTACCTATTTTTGGATGGCCCATTTACAGTTTTAAATGGTGAGGAAGAAATCAAGAGTAACATTACATAGCATGTAAAAATTACATGAAATTCAAAGTCCAGCATCAATTAATAAAGTTCAGTTGGAACACAATCCTGCTCACTGGCTCATGCTTTTGTTTGTGTTTAGGTCTGTCTGCTGACAGGCTATCTTGACTGTCTGCTGACATGCTATCTTGGCAGAATCGAGTAGTTATAGCTGAGATCATATGTATACTACAAATCCTAAAATATTTACTTTCTGGCCCTTTTCAAAAAAAAAATCACTAACTTCTTTAATTGAAGTAGAAATAGTCAAATTAAGTCTCAGAGTTTTGTCTCAAGCTTTTTCCAGGTATACTGTCTTCCAAGACTTAATTCTTAACTCAATAATTTATGAAAATGTAACCCCTCCCTGGTTCTTTCTCCACCTGCAATCTATGCTGAAATAATCATTTTTATTATAGAGTATTCTAAGCCCAGGGTACAAATCGTTTACCCAATAATAAAAGTGAAACGTGCTTTCAAAGTTAAAAAAAAAAATGTAGAAAACAATACAAATGAGGAATATAGGATTTTAGTTACACAACCCACACTAGGTTTTTAATGGGCTAGATTTCACATCAAGATACATTCTTGATATTTATGGAGCCCCATGTCAGGCCCTGGATTCTGGACACAAAATAGTGACACAGTTGCTGTCTCCCAGGACCAGTAGGCTGTGGGCTGGGAAAGCGTTGAGACAAACAGATCTACATCACAGCGATGTGTGTCTGGTGTAAAGAAAATGGGGTATGCAGTCAAAGTATGTGGGTGGAACCCTGATTATGTCCACAATGGATATTTTATACAATTTGAAAAGAATTGCTGAATATATCTGCATACTTTCATCTAATGTAGATATAAAGTTATTCCAAAAATGGAATCTTCCTCAATTCTAGTTATGTTTACATTTAACATGAGCACTCATCCTTGCCATTCGATGATTTTGAAAATAGGATTTAAATTTGTGAATAGTATTTCTTAGTGTATCTTATACATAAGATACGTGTTGCTGTCATCTTAATGGACCAAACACCTCTGGTTCATCTCTGGACATGGTTTTCATTTCCTACCACCTTCAGGTAGCTTCCTAATCTAGAATAATCTGATGGCCTCCTGGATCACTTTACCCTTTCCTCTCTTAGAACGGCAGCCACCCGACAGCACGCCTTCTCTTCTTCCTTATCCTGGGATCATCTCCCAAACCAGGGTGCAGCTGTATCAGCTCTTTGTCCAGCTCTTGGCACCATGCTTAGCATATGGTAGATACTTGGAGAGACAGCAGAGGAGACAGAGCACAAGACTCTAGTGACAGGCATTTTACAATGACATCTTGAGAGTGACATCTTCTCACTTTTGATTTCAACTGGTTAGAAGTGAGTCACTAAGTCCAGTCCCCACTCCCGGGCAGGGGATTCCATGAGGATGTGTGCAGTAGATGGTGGGGGCCACTGGGAGCCACTGAGGAATCTCCCACCACACAGACAGAGATGTGGCACTTGAGTCCAAACGGAAATACACATGAAGCCAGTGTAAGGTTTTGTGGAGGAAAACAGTATCTGAATGCATGAAAATCCAACCCCTAAATGGTGCAGACAGGGAAAACAGGCCAAGAGCAAAAGCAACATTTTCAAGATTATATGGCAGGAAGCAGGCCTGTCACTAGTCGTATTCCATGCTACCTTCCACACTGTCATGGATGTTAGCTCTAGTCTTGTTCATTAGCTACATGTTACACTGGCAATAGGTTTTAGAGATGTTTTCTCACACATGCCTGATGACATCCCTAGGAAGAAGATGCTAGAATGATCAACACTGTGCAGAAGGGAAGACTGGGAAGATCCTGAGAGTCAAGTGGCTTGTCCAGGGTCACATAAGTGATAAGAAGCAGGAGCTGGGGCCGAACCTACATGAATCTCCTCTGAGCTGGG